TATCAATTTCTACGAAACTCGGTACATTTATCAACCTAGGCTTAAAGAAGCGACATGTTGAAAATTTTTTGAAATCGGACTAAAACTACCGCCACCGACCAATAACGGTAAATTTCAGAAATACGAAAATCCCAATATTTCAATAACTAAACACGCCAACTTACAACAATCTCTTCACAAGACACAATATTTTTGATTTTTGTAAAAATGGCGTGGCACCACCCACTTATGACTACATCGATTCCACCAAGTTTGCTCCAATTACTTCAATATCTCATAGAATATTATCGAAACTTTTTGGCATCGGCAAAAATACTCTTGCTTATCATGCAGTTTACTGAAAAGTGAAAAAACGATATTTAATACTGTCACCAAATATTTTGTGCACTGCTGCTGCAATAGTGCCTCGTCCGGCACTTTAAAAAATTGCTTTTTACCAAAAAAACTCCGCTGCCAATAATATTAATAAGCTATGTTGCGCTCGCAATACGGTTGTTGCCTGACTCGATGCTCGTTCAGATCTCCCCGGCACGCAGTTGCGAGCCAGACCGCAACCTATGCACCGGTACGTTGGAGTGTCAGCGCTGGCCCGATCATTCTAGAAGCGAATTGGGCGCTAGGAATCATATTTGTAATAGGGAAACACTTGCAAGCTTTTGCTGTTCTGAAAACTTTTCTGCGTCCGAATTTTTTCAAAAGCAACCTAATGCTTTACAAATACAAATATTTTATGATGACTTCGAAATAACTAATCCATTAGGAAGCAAAACCGGAACACATAAGATTGGTGCCCTCTACTTTACAATAAGAAATCTTCCGTTTCAATACAATTCAAAGTGTGCTAACATTCATTTAATTGCGCTTTTCTTATATAAAGATCTCAAAAACAAAAACGTAGATTTTAATAGAGTATTGTATCCGATTATCAATGACATTCGAGCACTCGAAAACATCGGTGTGAAAGTGGACAATATGTTCATAAAAGGTACTTTGGTGACTGTTGCTCACGACAACTTAGGAGCGAATGTTTGTTTTGGCTTTGTATGTTCTTTCAGAGCGGATTATTATTGCCGATTTTGCACAATTCATCGAGAAGAAGCTAAGCACACACTTGTTGAAAACAATAATCTTTTAAGAACACAAGCAGAATACGATAATATATTGACTACTGTTCCCGGAGTAACTCTTTTAGACCCAAAAATCACCAAAGGCATTAAAAATACTAGTGAGATCAATAAATTATCATACTACAAAATTTTTGAAACATGTACATACACATTATGCGCCTCATAATATACATACCCAACAGGGCCAGAAGCGCTCCATTAGTTATATTCCAATGGGGCCAGAAGCGCTCAATTATTGCTATTGGAGTGCTCCATATTCAGCAGTGAGCGCTCCCTTCCTAATTTCACACTTAATTGTATATTAACATTGGGTGTCATTAGAAAGAAGCGCTCCCTTGCTGCTCCCAAAGAAGCCCTTGGTGAGCGCTTCAACTAAAGCGTTTAAAAAGCGATGCATGCAAATTTTAATTTTTGTATTATATTTTTGTTTTAATAAAATAATGGCGTTTTTTGTAAACCAGTTGATGGCTTTATTAAGTGTACTTAATGTACATACATACATGTTTGTACATAAATTAAATATTTTTCAAAAGAAAATATTTTATGTTACTACTCAAAATTATATTTATTTCTGAGCATTGTTAGAAATTCCAAAATTTATTTTTTTACTTTGCTTTTGTACTGCTCCCTACTTGCTCCTTTGGGGAGCAGTTAACTTTCAGTCCCGTTGGGATTGGAGCGCTCCATATTCAGCAGTAAGGGCTCGCTTCCTAATTTCACACTTCATTGTATTTTAACATTGTGTGTCATTAGAAAGAAGCGCTCCCTTGCTGCTCCCAAAAAAGCCCTTGGTGAGCACTTCAACTAAAGCATTTAAAACGCGATGCATGCAAATTTTAGTTTTTATATTATATTATTGTTTTAATCATATATGTAATATTGGCAGTAAGAGCTAGTACCGTCCGAAAACACTACAGTACAGATATATCAATAAACACGCACGAAAGAAAAGGAACACATACGTTTATAAGTAAACATATACACAACACATATAAAAAAACGGCACTCAAGTACACAATACATTGACAAAAATGGTACTAGACTGTCTCGCTTTGATTTCGGAATGCTTACACATTGAGAAGTTAGCTTACAGCCAATATAGAAATATTGCATATATGGTTTTAATAAAAGAGTGGCGTTTTTGTACTGTATGTACTCATAAACATGGTTTTTTTCTTTTCTTTGTGGTATACATACGAAAACACATACATACACGTTTGTACATAAATTAACTTTTTTTCAAAAGAACATATTTTATGTTACTACTCAAAATGATATTTATTGCTGAGCATTGTTAGAAACAAGGCGTATTTAACAAGGTGATGTTAGCCGTATATAAGTAAAAAATTACACTAACAAATTATACGCTGATGTCCATACTGTCATTGGTATGAGTTACAACAAACACATCATTTTGACGTAATGGCCTCCACGGCGAAAAACTCAGCTGTCGCCCCAACACCACCTTGTTTAATACACCTTGGTTAGAAACTTAGAAATTTATTTTTTACTTTGCTTTTGTACTGCTCCGTACTTGCTCCTTTGGGGAGCAGCTAACTTTCAGGCCCGTTGGGTATATAACATACATATGTATATATGTAAATATGTATGTATATATTTGAAATTTTAAATGTAAACAATTCATATATTTGTCTACATTAACCCTGTTTTGGCTTTTGTTCATGTATGGCACGATGAACTACATAATCTCAAAGTGTACAAAACACATACGCATGTATGTATTAATACATATTAATACATATTATAGCAGTGCGCGCTACCACTCCGCAGGGCCTTAGTTCAAGCCCTGGTCAAAGCAACATCGCAAAAAAACACAGAAAAATGTTTTTTTTTCTTTTAACAGCGGTCGCCCCTCGGTAGGCAATGGCAAACCTCCGCGTGTTTTTCCGCCATTAAAGACAGCTTCTCATAAAAATACAATCGCCGTTCGGGGTCGGTGTAAAACTGTAGTTCCCTCCCCTTTGTGTGACAACATCAAGACGCACGCTACAAATCGGAGCAGAAGCTCGGCCAAACACTAACATATGTGTAAGCGCCAATCTATTATTATTATTATTATTATTATTATTATTATGGTTTAGCGAATTAAAATACAGTTTATTCACTTGCTAGGTCAAGTCGTCCCTAAAGATAACAATTAAATAGCTCTTAAAGCACTCATGCTGGCGTTTGCAGGAGAAGACCAAATTGAGTTTAAGAACGCAGGCGTTCAATATTAGTAGATAATATTGATTTCCTTTTAAGTCGCCGTAATGATACTGTATGATAAATTAGTGCAGAAATAAGAGGACCATGCAATTTTTGTTGGTGCGCCAAGACGTACTTTTTTATTTCAGAAGCACCAGTAGGGACGACGGTCACTGCGTATTTCGTTGTTTGCAACATAAAACTAAGCGTTGACATTAATTTTAAGATTTTTTAATTGGAACCTAGAAAGTATGTATATTGGAGGTTGCTGCAGAGCCCCATAATTGTATTCCATAAGTCCATACCGGTTTTAAACCAGATGAATAGAGCAAGAGCTTATTCTCGAGTGAGACTTGAAATTTTGAGTTCAGTAACCAGTAATATGAAAAGCAAAATGATTGGTGCGCTTTAAGGGATTTGCACAAAATCGCTTAGGTGGTTGTTGAGCCAATCAAGAAACAGAATAGCTAAATATGTTCGAAAATATTACGAAAAAAGGCACGCAAGTTGAGTTGATGGAACTGGATTAGGATTGAGGCGTCTTCTCTTGGCATTTGAATAATTTATTTCACTCGATTTGAAGTGCAGAGCGCGAAAATTGGATGATGCAGTCAGTTGAACACCATACGCATTCATCGATTCCCATTCCTGTGTAAAATTTTTCGACACAATAAACATATCCTCCTCTTTACTGTGAGTAGTTCTGCATGTTTATGCAATTTTTTGTTGGTTGCTCCTTATTTCCTAAAACAAATTATTTTTGGAATTACAAAAAAAAAATTTTAATTTGAAATACATTTCAAATGTTGCTACTGGCAAATGGGTTAATGCAATGACAAAACTGTTGTCAAATAAGTGTATCAAAAATAAATATGTAACTATGTCATATATTGATTTCACTTTGTTTATTACATTATTCCATGGCTTTACGAGCTCTTTTTTTTCTTACAAGCTTGTAATCACATTGGCTGCGTTTCTTTATACATTCCGGATAATCCCATCTCACAGCCGGAATAAACAGAATGCGTTTGAGATATACGTCAACATATCATCAGGAACGTTCTAAAGAATAAATAAACAAAAAAGTTTATTCCAAACGTTCAGAATGAATAAAGAAATGCAGCCATTATTTTAAAAAATAGAACACTCTCACTCTTTTAAAAAAGTTAGCAACGAAACGCGTAGGGGGAAAAATTAAACTTGATTTTGATTTTTAACTTACTGGCTCCTAGAATAACCGAAAGATAAATTGAAAACTGGCCCGAAAAATAAATTAATTAATTTAAATTAATTTAACTTTTTAACTCTTGGCACTTCTCTTAAAAAAGTTAGCAACTTTTTCTATCCATAACTAAACTCTCTGTGTCCAAAATTGCATGCAGATCCGTTTATTCACCTTCGCGTGATTGAGCTACAAACATCCAAGTTCACAAACATACAAACTTAAACAATTATAATATTAGTATATAAATATAATCCGCACAAAGTTTAACAAATGGGCCTTTATTTTTTGTATATTAAAACTAAGGGAATAGTTTTTCCTAAGAAAATTGTAAAAGCGTTGAATAAAGTACACCCGGAGTAGGGATACAGTAACGTTATTATCGTAAATGAAGTAAATACTTTATAGGCACAACCCTTATCTTATAATAGTTGTATACTTACTGAGAAAAGCAAAGATGTAGGAGGTCGTGCAGCAGATGTAAGTGGAAGTGGTGCATTTGAATGTTGGCGGACGGTACTTTCGACCAAATCACCGTCCATATCAGGCAAACTATTTACAATCATAGCACATAAAAGACAATTTTCGATATTAAAGGGTTTCTTAAAAATTAAAAAGATTTTTGTTTTCGAACATAAGCTAGAATTGTTAAAGAACGTTAAACTAATTGTGAGTTGAAAAAATTGTTTGTCTACCTATAGCCAAACAAAGGAGATGCCATGGTAACAACTTCCAAGGAGTTCAAGCATGTAAACACACACACACACAATGTGACTTCCCTGCAGGGAAAGCTACCAGTTGTGAACCAGAATGCTACCAGTTTGTCCCTACAGGGAAAGCTACCAGTTGTAACCAGTATGATACCAGTTTGTGTTTCAGCCCAACTAGTTCACGTTGTATCCTTTTTCAATGTTAGCGACTGTTATTTTAACATGGCGGTGTCATAGGAGATGCCAATTGTCCACTCCTGCATCAGCATCCTACCAGTAGAAACACTAGTGCTCCATAATAGCTAATGGGATAGATGGCCAATTCATCCCCGTGAAAAACATATCTAAGTTTATCATTTTGCTCGCGTCGCTGCAACAGTGGCAATCAGCGTTGCCGCGAGCTTGAAAAAAAATATCAGTTGCCAAGCAGACAAAGTATCAAAAGCATACACAACTTTGTTTTGTTGAAAAACAAATAATAAATAAAATTTTATAACTAAATCCATTGTTATAAAAAAAATATATATATTATTTGCTTGCTTTACGAAAACATAGAATCTGTATGCTTATTTGCATAACGAAAAACAAACTTATAGGGCCCTTAAACACACAAAATCATTGCGCAACCCGAGACTTGTACAACTCAATTTGTTGCACAAACCTTATTTTGGAGAAACGTTGCTCAAGTAAATATGTGTAAGAAATATGAATGTGCGTTGTATATTTTGATAGTTTCAACTTTAAAACGCAAAAAAAGTATATTAAATTTGTTTTTTAATTTTTTCTACGCCCTTATCCATATTTTACAGCATGATCTGGATACCAGAATCAAAACTAGACTAAAAATTGCGCAGTAGTCGCAATCAGTGTTGCCGCGCCGTGGTTTAAAAATGGTTTAAAAAAGCCATCAAAATCCTAAGTTTTCAATACAATTGACAAATGAAGACATACATCAAGTTAATCGAAAAATTTTCGAACAAAAAAACAGTTGCATTTAATGGAATCGAATTTTCGCAAAAAATATTTGCAAAAAAAATACTTTTATAGAAAAAAACAAGTTAATAGCAGTGTTCGCGTATTCAGAATTATCTGAAACAAAAGAAAATAGGGCATTTTGAATTATTTATTGCAGATGTTATAATTATTGCTAGTATACTGTGAAAAGCATAGTAAAACTATTAAGCACTGGTTGTGTTCAGTTTATTTTTAGTTAATTTACTATTAATCTCCAGTTTTCTTATTTTAGTATGTGTCAACTGTTTGCCGTATACAATTTTTCGATGGTACCATATTTTTCCCTAAAATATACCGAAATAGATAAAAATGTTGAAATGTTTTGACCGAATTTTTCAGTTGTTAGTTGAAAAGAAAATATGATGATTTTAAAGGCACATTTGTAACTACATCCACTTATTTTTTTTTGGAACAAGGTTTGGTGAGATTCTCATATTTTTGAATGCGTCATGATATGGGACCGCAAATAATTTTGAGAAAAATAACTCATTCATTTCGAGATAATTCATTTATATGTAAAAAAAAAACATTTTTCCTATAAAAACGTATTCAATAGTAAAAAAATTCCAAATTGGGGGCAATGCACCTAGTGGATAATAAATTACCAAATGGACTACCTATTGCAACCGTGAAATGGAACAGCTGCTTCGAACATTGCAAGCTTTTGCAAATTTTGCCCTCTCGTTATTTTGTCTCTTTAATAGCGTATGCTCAGAATTTTTGCTGCTAGATAATTTTGTCGGGAGAATACGAAAACACTCCTAGACCCGTTCAATATCTTGCAAGTTTTCATTTGAAATTCGTTCAACAACCCCAAAAATTTGCAAGCGGGCGAATTCGAGAGCGTAACAAACCAATAGAGCTGCAAATTGTTGCAAGTAAAAATTTTACTAGCAGCAATTGACTGGTGTTAAAAAATCAGCCTTGTGTCCATTTCAAACGTAAACAAAGTGTTTAAGAGGAGGATTTAATGAAAGAATGCTAAAAAAATAGTGAAATAAAATAAAATAATTAAAATCTAAGGTAGATTTTTTTTTGTTTTTGTTTTTATGATAATTTCCAACGCGCCAAAACTTAACCATCACAAAGTCAAAATGGTGTAAGTTTCACCTTAATACTAGTTTTGCGTTCAATAGCTGTTTCTGATAATTTTCTTTTCCTCTAAATTTTATTCTATGTTTCTTTTACGCTCTAGTGGCAAGTACTTACTGAAAAAGTTTATGAGCAGCAACTGTGTGTTGATTTTAGCAAGACATTCGTTTTTAATAAATTCCACGTATTTACTTGCATGAGGTAGAAAACGGTGACTATTTTATCCACAAAAATTCAAACTTCCAAGTATGCAGAGTGTGGTATTTCGAAATAATTGTAATGCAGTGCTGTATTTTGACAAAATGGTACCAAAAATTTCTATGTAGTATCAATGTACTTTTGGGGCCCAAAATGTACCAAAAAAGTACAATTGTACCATCAATTTCATCCCTGATTTCCTTTATAAAAGTTACCAAATCACACCTACAAATATCTACATATAATATTTTGACTTTAAAGAACACCGTGCAACAATTTGAGGATCATTGTCTGGGAGCGGAATGATTCCAACTCTGGATGAAAGGCCAAGATCCATATAGTAAAACCTCAAAATCCTTTTACATTATTTGGTCAAATTTCTTTGCTATGGCCATTTTAAATTTGCAATATTTTGCCTAAGTGTCTTTAGAATAAATTAAAAGAGTTAAAATACATATCGAAATATATAGTAAAATTTTACGGCGAGTAATTTTGTACAACATTTTAGCCCGTTATATCCCTCACAAAAGGGTCGTTTTGGCCCTTTTTTTAGAAAGTCTGGATAAAATGGCATTTTGAAGGTCGCTAGGTCTGTAAGTCCACAGAAAATAAAAATATGCCCCTACTTTTTATGCTTTATTTCGTATTTCGTTTATATATATACCTCTTGCCCTTTTCGGGCCTAATGGTTCGGGAAGTGTAAAATCAGCATCGGAATCATCGCTGTGATCAGAATCTGAGTCACACATGATGTCAACGTGTGATTCCAATACTGGCTCTACTAGAGTTTTCAAACTATCGATGGCACTATCGATAGTATCGATAGTTTCAATTTTTTTAGACTATCAATACCCACTGATAGTTTTTATACCCGAGCGCACTTGTGCACAAGGGTATATTAATTTTGTTCACATAACGGTTGTTTGTAACAGCCAAAACGAATCGAGATAGATATAGACAAATGTATACATAAATGATCAGACAATAAAATACTTTTTTCGCAAAATCTATCAAGGACCCTTTTATTTCTAAAAAAACGGGGTAACAGTTATTCGTCGCCACGATGCATTTTGCCCTAAATGCGTGCATATTTGAATATGACGTCGGCATCACACTAAAAAACAAAATTTTTAATTCAAATTAAAAAATTCAAATAACTTCAAAATAATTGGTAGAGATGATCGATAGTCCTACTAAACTATCGATATTTTTGATAGTATAAGAAACAAGTAAGAAAGCCTAAGTTCGGGCAGAGCCGAACATTAAATACCCGGCGCACGTATTAAATATATGTTTTTCGCCTTACCGAAAGCTACGGCTATATGGTAAGCCGGGGCGTATCAATTTTGAGTAAATTAGAGTCCTTAGATTTCGAAATTTTGAAGTTTCAAGCAGTTCTGAAATTTACCGTTATATGAGAAGCGGCCGTTATTTTAGTCCGATTTCAATAATTTTCAACGGTTTGCTTATATGTGGCCGAGTTTGGTACAAATTGGTAGAACGGTTACTGAGATACATATATGTGATCATAAGTGGGCGGTGCCACGCCCATTTTCCAAAATTTATCAAAACGTATTTCTTGGTAAAGAATTGTTGCAAGCATCAATTTTGAATAAATTAGCTTCAATATTTACTGATTTATCGAAGATTTTGTATTTCTCTAAATTACCGTT